ATTTTACCTCTTGTTTTGGTGTGACAACAACCTCATATCCAACATGCTTGTATTTGAGCGGCAAGCTTTGGTTTAGCCTTCACTCTTCTGTTTCTGTTTTGTGGAGTAATTGGAGGAGTGCTGGCATTTTTTGGTTGGGAGACTGCATCTGATAGTTATTTCATGAGACTGAGATTTACTGATACTGTGTATGCATGAGCATTCACGCATGTGTCGTGTTAGGATGTCCTGAGTGACTTAATTCCCGAAATTGATGCAAGTGTCACAACTTGCCCTATTTTTGAAATTTTTTTAAATCAGCATTTTAATTTTTTTTAATGTCTTTCCGCTTCCTTTTTTTTTTTTAAATATTTATACAGTATCCTGCCTGTAGGCCAGGCACCAGATCTCATTATAAGTGGTTATGAGCCACCATGTGGTTGCTGGGAATTGAACTCAGGACCTCTGGAAGAGCAGTCAGTGCTCTTAACCGCCAAGCCATCTCTCCAGCCCAGCATTTTAAATATTTGAGTGATGTGTGTGCACTCATACTGGTTTTGCATGTATGGGAGTCAGGACAATTGGGGGTGGGGCAGTGGTCATCTACCATGTGGATCCCAAGGATTGAGCTCAGGTCATCAGGCTTGGTCGTAGGTTGCTTTTACTCCTGGGCCATCATCTTGCTGGCCTCTTATTCTACTTCTGAATTCCACTGTTACCATTTATACCATTAGTCCTTTTAAAACTAGAGTAGGAATCAGGCTTATTAAGTACAAGAGGACATAGCTCTGAGATCCCAGCTGTTTCTTTAGATCTAAACTTCTAACCTCATGTGTTGAAGACTTGGTCCCCAGCGAAGCTCTATAATAGAGGTAGGAGGTGGATTCTTGGACATGAGTGGAGAAGCAGCCCTGCTGATAGAGTCTAATTGGTAAGTGATGCAGGCTTTAGGCGGAGCATAGCTGGAGAGAGTTAGTCATATGAACATAGATTGGAGAGGTGTCTTTTGTCCCTGCCTTCCTCTAGCTCTCTGCTTCCCTGCAGCTTAGGTGAGTAGCTTTGCCTGAGTACAAGCTCCCTTCTGTGATACTCTGCCTCACCATGTACCCAGAACAGTAAAGTGGTAGGAGACCAAAAGTGTGAGCCAGGGTGAACTTCCTCCTGAAGCTCACCTGGGTGCTTTTTCACAGCAATGGACACACCAGCATTGTGGAAGAGTTTTTATTTTGATAAGTTCAGTAAAAAATTTCTTGACCTGAAAACAACAAAAAGCTAATCTCCAAGGACAATGAAAATGACAGTGTCAGAAGCAGCCGCTCGTGGTTGCCAGCAACAGGTTGGCAGCTGCCTTGTCACCCAGAATTATTTGCATTTCGTGGCATCAGGGCTTGGTGGTGGCCCAATAAGGCCAATTTAGCACTAACTGTGGGGTCATCGAGCTCCTTTGAGAGAAAGGTGGCTAGAACCAGTGGTGGCTGGCACAGGCGCATCATCAAGCTGCCATAGCAACATCAGGAATACAAGAAACAGCACCAGAATGGCACCTGCAGTCAACAGAGGTGGAGTTGGGAGTGGGGGAGGAGTTGGGAGCTCAGGTCCTAATGGTGCTGCACAGCCCTCTGAGCAGCAGAGAGGCCAGAGAGTGGGACGCCCCATCCAGCTCAGCCTTCAGACCGACTCAGCCACGTCCAGCCAAGGGTTCAATCCCACATCCTTTAGAGAGAGCTTCAAGAAAGGCACTCCTGAGCCAGAAGTTGAGGGAGTATGATCCCTGCCTTGGGGAGCACCAAAGCTTGGATGGCGAGGAGCTACAGAATGTTTGGCAGAGGAGAGGACTAATCTGGTGGAAGAGATAAGAGATTGGCATCAGTGCTGGTGAAAGAGTTTGGGTAGAGACCTGCAGGACCTCACTGAGGAGCATGCCATTAAGATACTGATCTTTAAGAACAAAAGGAGTGGTGCAAGAGGAGGAAGGTATGCTGCTGGGGAATGTGAGCCTGGCAGATGAAAAGTTGGCCAAGAAGAATGTGGGACTGGGGCTGGAGAGATGGCTCAGTGGTTAAGAGCACTGTCTGCCCTTCCAAAGGTCCTGAGTTCAATTCCCAGCAACCACATGGTGGCTCACAACCATCTGTAATGAGATCTGGTGCCCTCTTCTGACCTGCAGGTATACATGCAGACAGAACACTGAGAATGCTGTATACATAATAAAACTTAAAAAAAAAAAATGTGGGGCTGTGGAAATAGCCCTAGCACCTGCTTTGTACCAAACCCCACCATGCAAGTGGTCTCCACACAGCAAAACCTTTGCTGTGTGGGAATTGGAGAAGAACGGACTCGATACCTTCCATGCCACTGGTCTCATGAATGAGAATTGGCAGAATTGGGTTAGCCTGCAACTACAAGTTCAGCAGGGCCTTAGCTTCTCAATATTTTACACTCAAGGAGATGGTGACCTTTAAGATGACTAAGAAAGTCCTCAGAGTGGTAGTGCCGGAAGATGACATATAGCCTCTTGAGCAGTAGACTCAAAAAAGGGAGTTCCATACTGCTGTATGGAGTTAGGTTCCATACTGTTGGACAAAGGTCAGCACCAATTACCCAGAGTGGAGAGGTGGTCCTGGATAAAGAGGAGCCAGTATCTTCAGCCTGCATCCTCACTAGATGATGCTGGAGTAAAGAACATGAACATCAGCAAGGAGGATGACAGAAGTGGAGCTCTGCTATCAGAGTCCCAGGGGTGCGGAGGAGAAGCAGCTGCTGGTGGGTGGGTGAGGGGCATTGGTTGTGGCACTTGCAATGACAACAGCACTGAGAAAGATGGTAGAGCTTGTGAAGCTGCAGGGGGTCCTGGCAGCGTTCTGTTGCACACTGAGGAATTTCCACCTATGATTTGTCTGGCAACCTGGAGGAACAGGAGCAGCTCCTGGATTTGAGTTCAAGGAGGATCATATCTTTAGAATGCTTTCGAAATAAGTCAGGGAAAACTTGAGCTGGAGCATGGCCAGCCTGCATAAGCAGCAGCGAGAGTTCTCAACCGCCACCATTCCTGGACAAGGAGCTTCCTGTGAAAAAGCTAGTCACAGCCCCATTGCTAGACAGTGCAGTTCGGAGTATGGCCCCAGCATGTTGGGAGCAAGATCACCCTTAAGTACAGACAGTAAAAGGACTGCATGGCTTCATCTAAGACTTCAAGGAGAAGGATGGCTCTAAGTCTGATGTTAAGGTTGTGAACTTAGATGGTCTAGGCTAGAAACTCAAAGGAGCCATGCTTCTGGAAAACTGCTTAGGTAGGAAGGGCTTGGGCACGGTAGACAGCAGTGAGCAAAGAGGCTTACCTGAAGATGAGCCCGCGCTGCACACCTCTGCAGTGTGACTTTGCTTAAGAGGCAAGAGGCCCATGCATTGTGCTCAATGGCTGTGATATGAACATTACCACCAAAGCCACCTCCCTTCTGATTCCCTCCCACCCTTATGTTAAATAAAGTTCCCTCCTTATTAAAAAAGAAAAAAGCAGGTAAAAATAAATATGTTTACAAATTGTAGAAGTAATACAAAAGAGGCTGAAATTTCCAATGAAGAAAACTCAAAATGAGTCTCATTATATAAAGGCTCTTCCCTTGCAAGAAACAGGGATACAGCTGTAGACCCAGTTTAGTTTTGCTGCTGAAAAACTTACAAAATAAATTAGAAAATCCAGTCGAGGTCAAATGTTGTAAGCTCACTACTGTACCTGCATCTTTAATCTGAGGAACGTCGACCACAGTGCAAGGCAAAGGAGTGATGTTAGGACAGCAGTTTTCATCCGGAGTCCACTGTCCTGTACTAACCTTCAAGTAAAAGCTGAAGAGAAACACGCCCTGTGGTTGAACGACCGGATTGCCTCCATTGCAGAAGAGCCCAGAGCAACGGCCTTTAACAAATGGCTGCTGCTTCCCAGCCACCATTGGTTGGGCTTGATAACAGTCAGCAAGTTTATTGGAAACTTGAGGTCTGTGTGCTGTGGCAACTATTAGCTACATCTGGAAAACCCTTGCGCTCATGAGAGGAAGGGAAAAGGCAGGGTTTGCCCATCTGTGGTTCCGAGTGCACTTCATTCCTTTGTAGGAAGCACCTGTGAACACCGCTTTCCACCTTAGTGTTGGTTCTGAGGGGTTAGCTGGCCCCTCTGAGAACAAATGTTTGGAACAAGTATAAGCACCCCTAAAGTCAAAGGCTTAGTCATGCTCCCAGGTTTTAGATCCAAAAGCCGAGTCTGCTCGATTTCAAAAAGATACCAAAATGTAAGCATTCCCCCAAAGAAGCAGGAAAATCAAGCAGCTCAGAGTGGTGAGAGGTCTGAAGACTGTTGGACCAATTCCAGCTCCTAGTTTGGTTTTCAGACTGGAGAGCAAACGGAGTATCCACTACCTGGCCATAGGATTCCTTGGAGAAGCCACTGAGGAAAATGGATTGTCTTAAAGTTGACCAACTTGGATTTGAGAGTTCATTTGGGCAACACCAGAAAGCTTTCCACTGGGGATGATTGTCGAGAACAGTTATCTAAAAGTCACACATGCCAACCAGCTGCCACGTTACTGACCAGTTCTGTGATGAAAAACGGTGTGATCAGCGATGGTATTCTTTCCATGCATGTAGGGGGCAGCCTTGTAAGTCTTGTAAGAGTTTGTTCTCTGCCACGTGAAGAAGCTTCCCCATGAAAATGAAGAGGTAACTGCGGCTCCCCCCACTAGAAAATCACAACCAAGAACAACTGTGTGCCTTTGAAGGAAATGAAATATCAAGTAGGATGTCTGGCCTCAGATCAGAGCTGAATTTGAGTGGAATTCAGGTGTGAATGAGCCAAAATAGTAACTAAGTCTTCTCTGAACACATTGGGTTTTGAGCTTCCTGGTAGATTTGATCTGCTCAGTACAATCTCTTGACAATTTTGAAACCCTTGTAAAGTCTGAGCAGTTTCCAATTGGAACACATTCAGTCCAAGGCTTCTGTGGTTTTTTTTTTAGCACCCCAACAATCTCTCTGTCCATCCTGTCAAATTATTTTTGTAAGAGTTGGGAGCTCAGGTAACCCTACCTGGCCTTGTACCTCTGATCTGTTATGTCTACCTTCCAAGTGCTGGGATTGCACCCATGACACCTGATCAAACTTTCCTTTATATAATATGCACAAAAACACCACCAAACGTAGTACTTAACTCCTGGTGGCTTGGTTTATCCCTGGCATGTTTTGATGTGGAGTGGAGTATATTACATAAAGCACCATTTCTTAGACCCTGTTTTCTGATCAAAGATCAGGCTTCCCAGCCTTGTTATCTCAGGCACAATCGTAATGCATTGATGGCTAACTAGAGATTGGGGACGGGGATACTAGCTGACCAGACTTGATGGGAACTTCTCTTATACCTCATGTTCAAATGGGGTAGGAGGACCTTTTCCTAAAGTCTGTCATTGCTTGCTTCTGTACCAGAAGTTGTCACAGGACGGACGTTAGCACTTGCTTTAGCACATTTCTGGGCTCGCTGTAGTTAACAGAGGAAGTAAAATCTTCTCCGAGATCACTGCCTGTGCAAGGGCAAGCAGACAGGGAACAGACAAGTCTGTCTGCCCTGCGCCTGAAGAATCAGTGCTGAGCTTCGAAAGCAGAGAGCTCCTCAGGCCACACCACAGTCACAGTTCTTCGCATTTCAGATTTGTCCTTTCGGCCATGAAACTAGAACACAACACTCCCTGCACCCTCCCACCCCATCTTTTCCATTCCCCTCCCCTCCCTTACCCATTGCACTTCTCCCACTTTACTTAGGGGTTAGATCACACCTCAGCGAAAGCCAGGCTGTACTGCTCTGGCTTCTTCCCACACCTCCGGGCAATAATGGCCAGATAGAGCATGAGGAGGGCCACCCAGTAGCAGCCGTACAGGATGGCCCCAGAGACTAGGAAGGCTAGCTCAGTCTCACTGAACAGGTCCTGGCAGTAAGCTGTGTATGCTAGGCCACCTAAAAGAACAGCTACCCAGATGGACACAGGGATTAAACCAATGAAGTTCACTACAATGGTTTTTCGGCCAGAAGTGCCCCAGCCAGACTTGTTGATGGTGGCAATGGCAAAGATCTTGGCTGGCAGGAGACTGGACATATAGAGAAGGGAGTAGAGAGACATGAAGATCATCTCTGCATTGCCTCGAAGGAAGCAGGCATAGGTAGCCTTGATAATGCCCACCAGCTGCACCGTCAGCAGGAAGAGGAGAATGTTCCAGATGCGACCACGGTAGAAAAGTTGTATGACTGTGGCGATGAGGAAGAATGGGAAGAAGCCTGTGACCACTGATTCATAGGTCATCCAAAGGTGGTGCTTATGGAACCACAGAGAATTATAGAGCCATTCCCGGAAGTAAGACTTGCTCCAGCGGGTCTGCTGGTTGAGCCATCTGAGGTACTTAGTGGGGGTCTCCGTGAGGCACTTAGAGCGTGCTGTATACTTAGTCCGGTAGCCAAGACTCAGGACTCGGTTGGTAAGGTGCCGATCATCCCCGAAGCTGCACTTGCTGCCTAGGAACTTCTGATGGTACCAGTCCTCCAGGAACTGCTGGAGGAGGCTGTTGCGGTACATGCCCAAAGGCCCGCTGATACATTGCACACAGCCGAAGTAGGACTGGCAGGCCCGCTCCACGTTGAAGGCCATCCAGTACCTCACACTGCTCAGGAAGGAGATCCATGAATCATACTTGTTGAGGATCTGTAAGGGGACAGAGATTCTGTATTCATCCGAGGCCTTTCCACCCTGAGTTCCACAGCCTACTGCTCACAATCCTGGATGTTGGTTCTGAACTTACTAGAACTGAGGAACCCGAAACTCGGAGTGGTTATATGGAGTCCCAGCCTCCAGCCCCAGCCACCTTTACATCTGCACTGACTCCCAATTAGGATGCTCCAGGAGTCAGTGCCTGGTCTTAGGAGAGGCATTGGTGGTTGGAACGCCCTTAAGATGACATGCCATTGCCTCTGTGTGCTTAACATACTCCCTACAGCTCTTCAGCCTGAGTTCCTTAGAACATGGGCTTTTCAAGGAACTAACTTGGGAGCTATCTGCTACACTATCAGTCCAAAAGGAAGTTATTTCTGAGACCTGCAGTATCCAGATCCTATGTCATTCCAAATACATGGGCTTTCAAAAGAAAATTTTAAATTTATTTTGTGTATGAATGTTTCCTATATGTATGTCTGTTCACCACTGACATGCACGCCTGTGAAGGCCAGAAGAGGGCATCAGATCCCCTAGAACTGCAGTTAGGATCTGTTGTGAGCCATCATGTAGATGCTGTGATTGAACCTGGGCCCTTTGCAAGAGCAGCAGTAATCTTAATAGATGAGCCATCTCTCCAGCCCGCTTCTTCAAATTTTCTAATGCTCCCCTCCCCTTACTCATGTTCAGTAAGAGCAAGAAATGAGTTGGGCAGTCAGTGAAGTGAGTCCTTAAAGACCAACAAAAACTATCAGGGAAACTGCTCCCCAGATGCTAGTAAGTCCAGATTCATTTCCCAGGCATATGCCACTGGGCTTGTAAACTGGAAAGGCCAGCCCGAACCCCAGGAACTCTTGGTTACTTCTTACTTGGACATCTCCTCCAACACCCCCTACTTGAGGATCTTCTTCCAAGACTCGGAGCATCTCAATGGTGCAAGCTGGGTCCAGCACGGTGTCAGAGTCACACACCTGCAGGGAAGTGCATGGTCAGTGCTGCAGGCCTGTATAAGTACCCTCCCGCCTCAGGAGGCTGCTCCTACCTGAGAAGCCTGACCCCTCTCCCATTCACTTCCAGCAAATTTCCCTATGCTAGGTAGAAAGGGGGAGGGGAGTGCAAAGGGAAGTAAGGAAATGCGAAGGCTAAGGTTGAGGTACCGGGAGGCTAAGGAGAGCGGCCCAGAAGATGATGTCATGGCTGCTGCTGAGAGCTCTCACAGGTAGCTTGCTAACAGTGGCCTCCTGCTGAACCTACAGCCCTGGGATAAGAATGAGTCTACCTGCCCAAAAGCCCCTCCATGAGACGAAGCTGCTGCTGCCCAAACATTCTGTGCTTGGAATCTTGGCCTAGTCTTTATGACAGGTATCTGAGGCCAACAGCTCGTCTTATCTGACCTGCTCTGAATAAACCCGGAAGCTGGCAGCAGTTGCCAGCAATCACACCCTGCATCGTACCGCTGTTAGCTGCACCTGAGCCCTGGAAACATGTACCGTGGTGGCTGACTTCCTGCCTGCCTTCTTTCCTTCCTTTCATTTCTTTATGTAGCCATGGCTGTGCTGAAGCGCTATGTAGACCAGAAAGGCCTTGAACGCAGAGATCTGCCCGCCTCTGCCTCCTAGCTGCTGGGACCGAAGTTGTGAGCCACCATGACCAGCCTTTTCTGTATGCTTTTTGAAGTTACTGAGATGGTCCTGGCATTCCACTGGGCAGAGAAATTGGGTTTACTAACCACTTATTGGGCTCAATGGTCACTGTTCTCTGAGCAGATAAACTCAAATCCCTTAGAAGCTTTTACTAAAGTTGCTGGCATAAGGCCCTTAATTAAATTTCTAGAACAAAAAAAAAAAAAATGAGGCTGCCTCTGACACCCCAGCCTTCCTGGTTCTCTTCATGTTAGAAGACAAGGTGGCACAAACAAGCAGCAGGACGCTAAAGGGGGAGTGTATAGCCATCAGCACCAATTCTGCTTCCTCTGTCCTCCCACCAGGCTTCCTTCCATCCCAGAACCGCTTCAATTTAAAGGTCAACTGCGCAATGCTGCTGGTCTTGACTCAGTGACTCTCTCTCTCTCTCTCTCTCTCTCTCCTTTCTTCCTTCTTACCTTCCTTCCTTTTGTTTTTGTTTTTGGAGACAGGGTTTCTCTGTAGCTTTGGAGCCTGTCCTGGAACTAGCTCTTGTAGACCAGGCTGGCCTTGAACTCACAGAGACCCGCCTGCCTCTGCCTCCCAGTGCTGGGATTAGGGGCGTGCATCACCACCGCCCGGCTTCAGTGACCATTTCTAACCCATTCTCTGTGCGTTTTGCTTCACCCACTCCAGGAAGGTCCTAACTATGCAGTTAGGGAAGGAAGAGTAACGTCTGCCCGGGTCTCCCCTGGCTGGTCAAGGTTTGTTTTTCCCCACAGAGGAGCGATACATCTTTAACAGGGCTGTTGGAAGGGTGGCTGAAACCCAGCAAATGTGCACTGGCTGTAACCAGGGCTGCCTTAGGTTGCGGCTCAGGACCATGAAGAGTAGAAGTAGAGCATGGCTTTAGTGGGAGACTGAAGGTCCACCAGAACACAGGTGATGAAAACAGGCAAAGCCGGTTTGGTCGGCTCCTATGCTTCAGGGAATGGCTGATAAAGTTATTGTTGCCTGAGCAGTTATCAAGACAAAGGGCTTTTTCTTGTGCTTCTGGGTTCTAAGAAAAGTTTAACAAAGACCCCAAGTTCCCAGGTAAACTGCAGAATCAACAGCCTTCTAGACACATCCCTGCTTACATACTTGGGTCCATGAATTTAGGAAAAGACAAACAAGTCAACTATTATACAAGGATAACATTAAAAAGAGAGTGGGGCTAGAGAGTTGCTCAACAGTTAAGAGCATTGGCTGATCTTCCAGAGGACCCAAGTTCCATTCCCACTACTATAGCTGCCTATAGCTACAGTCCTAGGGAATCAAATTCCCTCTTCTGGCTTCCATGAGCACCAACCACACATGGTGCACAGACATATTATGCAGGCAAAATATCCATACATATAAAACAAAAGCAATCTTTAAAACAGAGTAGGGCTGGGCAGTGGTGGTTGTACCCCTTTAATCCCAGCACTGGGAGGCAGAGGCAGGCAGATCTCTGTGAGTTCAAGTCCAGCCTGGTCTACAAAGCAAGTTCCAGGACAGCCAGGCATACAATGAAACCCTGTCTTGGGGAGAAACACACACACACATACACACACACACACACACACACACACACACAAGCTAACTTTATACTATCGAACACTTCGTAGTATTCAGGGAGCATGATGCCAATAAGATGGACTCAGTACTCCGTGGCTACCAAACAGCTACTGTTCTCTCGGTGTTTGTAAACAGATGGCAGAACCCTTTGGCAGGTGTAGAGGTCACAGGAGGCTGTGAGGAATTCTGGACCAGAACCTGGGCAGCTGAGTTGTCTGTTTCTAGTTGGTACTGAAACGCGTCCTTTTCATGTTTCTTGCTCTCTAGTGAGTATTTGCAATTTTAAGCCATGCGAACCTTGCCGGTCTAATAGAATTTCGAGACTGGTGCCAGTGACCACTTGATCAGGATCTGGGCAGGGTCTGTTTGAGTTCCAGCCCTGCCAACACTGGAAAAAGAAAGTTGGCCATTCATATGCCTGCGTCCCTCCAGCTGTCAGACACGATTCAACACTAGGAAAAACAGGACTTTGTGGCCCTAACTCAAACAAAGCTGAGTGGTGTTTAGCAGAATCCTTTTATTCATTATACTTTTCTTTAAGACTCATTTTTATGTCATGTGATGGTGCCCACCTTTAATCCCAGCACTCAGGAGGGAGAGGCGGGCGAATCTCTGTGAGTTCAAAGCCAGCCTGGTCTACAGAGCTTGTCCCAGGACTGCCAGGGCTACACAGAGAAACCTTTTCTCCAAAAACCAAAAAGAAAAAAAAATTATTATTATGTGTATGAGTGTTTTGTCTACATGTAAGTCTGCATCATGTGCATGCACTACCTACAAAGGCCATAAGAGGGTGTCAGATACCCTGGAACTAAAGTTAGGTTGTTTGCTGCATGGGTTCTGGGAATGGAAGGTGGGTCCACCAGAAGAGCCAGCCAGTGCTCTTAACTGCCAAGCTGTCCTTATGGTGTTTGGTCACCCTATTGCCTGAAGTGAGCCAAGGCTAAAAGCAGGCCATGGATAGACTGCAGGGCTCGCATTTGGTCTGCTGTTTGACCTAAGCAAGTGATCCTCTCAACTTCTGTTCGCCTTTCTGTAAACCTAGAAAGAGCAGCACTGACCTGCAGAGCTACTGTAAGGGTTAAAAGAATGGGTGTATTTGAAGCACCCCAATAGTGCTTGCTATGAAGTCAGTACTGTGCACCCTTTTGCTGCTGTTATTATGGGGACACCAGTTCAAAAGTCTGCCCAGTTACCAACAGAACCACAGCCCAGGTTTGGACAACCCAGGGTTTCTTCAGAACTACTGTGCCTTGCTTATGGGTGAGGAGGGGTGGCGACAGCAGATTTAAGTTGCCTGAGGAGAGAGTGTGTGCCGGTGTGCACACACTTCTAGGGGGGCAGCCTTACCTGGATGTAGTCCACTGAGTTGCCAAGGGCCTTGAAGGCTGTGTACATGACTTCACGCTTGCCTCCCCATTTCTGCATGATACATGAGAAGGTGCTGGCCCACACCACGGCTCGCACACGCTCCATGCCTTCCTGTAGGCTGGCCTCTGTTTCTCCTTCACCCGCCTCATGGAAATTGCTACGCCATACAAAGAAGCCAGCTTGCTCAGTGCCACCCAGAACCTCGTGGAAGATGTCCAGCATGTAGGCATCTTCCTGGCGATTGCCATCCACTACCATGACCACCTTGAGGTTCGGAAAGGCAATGCGCTGAGCTGAACGCAGGCACTTGCGCAAGTACTCAGGGTCCTCTTGGTAGGCAGCAATGCAGAGTGCCACCGAACGTCGCCTCTGAGAGCAATGTAGCTTCAGTGGGCGCTCTGCCCTGCGCATGCGACGGTGCTCCAGGAAGGCAAACAGGCTCTGGATGAGCAAATGTAGACCCAGGATGGCACCGTAGAGGCCAAAGGACAGGTAGTGCTTTTCTGTGTGGATAAACTGATAGCCTGTCACATAGGCTGCCAGGATGCCCCCTAGCACCACCAGGGCAAACAGACTGGTGCCCACCACACGCAGGGCCGTAGTCAGCTGAACCGGCATCTGGGAACAGAAGAGATAGTGGGGTCAGGCGGGGGCAGCAATCTCAGAGGAGCATCCTCAGAGAAAGGCCCAGAACAAGAAATGACACACTAATAAAAAAACCATTATCACTTCATTGAACTTGACTAAGATCACATGGAAACTCAGAAGCTAGACTGCTGGGGTTGAAGTCCTGGTTCTGCCATTTCTATCTGCCCAAGCCCACTCCCCCTTTAGCTGTGTGACTGTAAAATGTGTTATACTCCTAACCTTACAGCTTGTTCAGGTAGCAAATCGGTGACATGTAAGGGAATTAGAGTAGCACTGACCGTAGATAAACCAAAGGCTAGTCCCCTGGGATGTGGGACAGCGTGACCTGCCTAGCCCAAAGCCTCTAATAGGTAAGCTTCAGCAGGGACGCTGTTCACAGGGGAGACAGGCATCATGGGAGAAGAGGGGTCAGGTGTCAGCTCATGGCCTATAGCCATCACCTCTGATGGGCGAGTGCAGTCTAGGGGGAAGTGTTCCTCTGTTATAGCCAAAACCCACGGAGAATGCAGGGGCAGGAACGTGAAGGACTGTGAGGTGGACAGGCACAAACCATTTCGCCTTTCTACCACTAGTCCGTAAGAACTGCCTGGTGTTTGCTTTCACTCTTTCTTTTGCTAGAGAGGCAGGAGAGAAGGCCAGGGGAGAAACTGACCGGGATGGGGAGGTCAGAGTTGGGGTATGGACAGCCCTCCTGCAAGTTCAGCATGGAGAGGAGAGCCAGAGGGAAGCACTGCAGGCACTGCGGAGATGGCTGCTGGAGAGTCTCACCCACTTGGTCCTAGTGCCCTGGTAGGCTCCCCTGCCCAGCCACTCTGGCAAACAATGCAGGTTTCCGTTGGTAACTAAGTTGGGGTTCCTAGCACCTGCCCTGTTGGGAACAGCTATGCATTAAGGAGAGGAGCCCAGGACTTGGCAGCAGAGACCAAGGGTTGGACAAACTCCACTGCCTCCTGGCTACCTGACCTTGCCCAAAGATTTAGTGTCCCTGTCCCTGGGAGTGGTGTTAATGATCCCTTGCTTCTCAGATCTAGGTAATTTCCCAGCAAATGGATGTACATTAGCCCTCGAGGGAGAGGGTATGAAGCAGAGGGGTAAGGAGAGTTTGCCCTCCTCTCCCGGTAGCTGCTACCTGTCCCATCCGGAGAATCCGTTTCCACCCTTGTCTCAGACAATGACCTCTCACTTCCAAGCCTGCTTCAACTCTGATCTCCCTGAAACGGGGCCCCATCCCAACAGGAACAGACTTTGCTGCTAAGGACACCCCTCACATAGGATGGGTGAGGAACAGGCAGTCACTGCTTCAATCTGCACAAGCATTCTTCCAGCTATGTAGATCTGAAAGGGCGCTAGGCAGCTTGGCCTCTCCAGGAAGCCTGGCCTCTGGGGCTCAAAGCTCCACCAGCCCCAGGAGCCACTGCGTGATTCCTCTGTAGGAACCCCAGCTCTCCCTGCACACACCCAACCCAGGACGCCCCAGGCCTACGTCCCTTGCCGGTCCCTCTCTGCCTGACGCATGGGGGGTGGGGGGTGGGGGACGCTGCGGGCCCTACTGCTTGCCTTGTTCTGGGAAGGGAGAGGAGGTGCCCTGGCTAGCCCAGCAACCTGCGCCCTGGCGCCCCGCCTCGGTGCAGTTCCGGAGGCTATCCGGTCAGGTCCAAGGCAGCTAGCGAAGCTCTCGCCACGCTCCTCACCCGGCTTGAGCTTCGCCCCGCTGGCTAAAGACACACGGCCACACCCACGTGCCGATTTCCACGACCCAGGGAAGGAACGGAAAATCCAAGAAAAAACAGCCAAATCAGGCCCTACTCATCTTCCCAGGGCCCCAGGTACCTTGGCGAAAGAGTGCCTGCAAACAAAGGCGACATCCCGGCTGTTGCCAGTCCCCTCCATCCGCGGGCCGGACCCCTCCCCCTCAGGAATTAAGAGGCACTACCTTTGTACCCACCTCCCCACAGAAGACCGAAGAAGGTTCTGCAGCCAGATACCCTATGTGCAATCAGGTTCTGACGCGGGCTCTGGTTGAGGTCCCCTGCCTAGACAGGGGGGCTGTATTTCCCTAAGCCGGTAGACAAGAGTGGGATCTTATATCCTGGGCCGTTTCCCCCAACCCCGCAAAAGAGATCCAGGAAAGCCCGGCCCAGGCTAGCTACGGCGCACTCGGGTTCAAGGGCAGGAGGCTAGGGCGCTTTACAAGATCGATGTGCCGTAGGACAACGGAGGAAAGAAATAAAACCTCCAGGCAAGGACGCACACCTCCCTACCCAGCCGGGAAACTTTGAGGGTCTGCAAGGTTCGCAGCGCCTCTTTCTCTGACAGGTGCGCCCTGCAGTCGGGCCCACGCGCACCGGTATGGAAACTTGCACTGGCGGCTGCGGCTCCTCCGCCCGCGCCTAGGCGCCCTCGGACCCCTCTGAGCCGGCAAGGAGTGGGAGCTCATCTCAAAGACACGTGCTGTGGGGACCAGATCGCTGGAAATCTTGGTGTCCCCCGCAGGTGCGAAGCCCCTGCGGGCGTGAGTGGGGGAGGGACACTCTAGCCTTGCGCCCCGCACCACAGTCCCCCGCCTCCTAATTCATTCACAAAACACGAGCCGCAAGGGAGGAAGGGAGAGAGGTTGCAGGAGCCCAGGATGTTGGAAGAAAGGGAGTAGAGATCGGTGGGGAACCGGTTGCATGGACCGCCGCCGGGAAGCCTAAAACGGCCGCAGCCCTGACCACCCAGAGCCCTGGGGTCCCCAGGGCGCGGCAAGAGGCGCCGGAGGGGCAGTCCCGTACGGCCCGCCCCTTGGATGCGCTCACCGTGCTGCCGGCTGCCCGCGCTCCGGTACTCAGCAGGGCCGCGGCGGCTCCATGCCCCTCCTCCGGCTCCAGCCGCCGCCGTGCGCTGCCTCCACGGTGCTGCCGCGCGCTCCGACTGATGATCGCCGGCCCAGCCGAGCCGCCTTTAAGTATTGCGCGCGACCGCCCTCCTCCTCCCGGGGCCGGGAAAGTTGACAAGAGTGGCAGGGATCCCGGAGCCCGCGAGCGCACCCGATTCCCGGTCACCGGCTGCTGCTCTCCAGACCCGGGGTCCGTCGTGGACGCAGCCCCTCCGGCTCGAGAGTTGCAGCCTCTGCGCCCCCTGGAAAACTGGGGACTCCCAGTGTAGCCCAAGGCTCCGCTGCTCCGCACAGACCTCTGGGCCAGTAGCCTCGGAAAGGCGGCCATTGTCCCTAGCCTAGACCTGAAGCTTCGTTAACTTTCCAGACGACCCATTGGGACCTCCAAAATCTTTCCAGTCCATCCCCGCCCCCACACCCGGTTCCCCAAGTCTGAAAACCTACTACTCACCCTGCAAGCCGGCCAGCCCAGAGTATCTTCCCCCGACTTCTGCACGCCAAGGGGCGGTAAGCTATGCGAGGGGACTCCCTAAACCCAATGTTCTTCTGGAACCTTCCCGGTGGCAAGAGAGGAACAGAAGAGAAAAATTGTCAAGTAGAAAGAGGCTGGTCAAAGAAGGTGTTAGCAGTCGTGACAAGCTGAGCTTTGAATTCCGCAGCGGGGCGCTGATATTAAGGCTGTTTGCAAAAGCTGCAGATTGGTCTAGCAGGAACATAGGAGATTCCGGTCTTAAAGCCCAGACAGTTCTTCCTCCCCACTTTCACAGCTTTATTTCCGACATCCCGACCTCTTAAATTTCCACCTGACATCCTCGCTCATACTTTCCAGGTCCCTGAGCTGGGTGAGGTGAGCTGGAGAGGGGGTTCAGGAGAGGAGGGTGCTGTTAGCAGAGGTTTAGAGCCAGCTGGAGACCTTGAGGTTTTACATACCGGAAAATCTTGAAGAGAAATGATAATTAAAGACTAGTTTTAAAAATGAATTTACAGGCTGGGCAGTGGTGGCGCACGACTTTAATCCCAACACTCATGAGGGAGAGGCAGGCGGACCTCTGTGAGTTTGAGGTCAGCCTGGTCTACAGAGTGAGTTCCAGGACAGCCAAGGCAAGAAAGCCTGCCTTGACCCCCCACAAAATTGTGTCCTCAAAGCTTCAGCGATAACTTCACTAGCTGAAAGAATTTTATAGGCACGTGAGCCGCAGTTTGAAGTTTTCCTCTCAGACTTATCCACAGTCCCTCTGTCGTTTAGCCACGGCCACCCTGCAAAATCAAACACCCTGCTTCAGGAGACACCACTGTATGATCACTGTATGGGCTAAAAGGCTTCCTACATAGCCAAGGATAACCTTGAATTTCTTACTCTCCTTCCTTTAACTGAGAAGGGACAGGTGAGGTCCACCATGCTCAGTTTATTCAATGATGGGGAATGATCCCTGGGCTTCATGCATGCATGGTAAGCACTGAGTTCTATCCCCAGCTCCAGAGAGCTTCTCTGTGTAACAGCCCTGGCTGTCCTGGAACTCACTCTGTAGACCAGGCTGGCCTGGAATTCACTGAGATCCTCCTGCCTCTTCCTCCCCAGTACCAGAATTGAAGGCATGTGCCACCACTGCCCAGCTAAGAGCTTGCTCGTAAAGGCTGTTGAGATGGCCCAGTGAGGGAAGACACTTTGGACCAAACTTGAGTTCCATGTCTGGGACTCACATGTTGGAAGGAGATAATCAGCTACTACACGTCCTCTGATCTCCATACAAGTGATATGCACTTCCAGTAAATCTATAAAATACAGAAATAATATTGAATATTGAAGCCACAGTTGCATCTGTATTGGGTACAGACTTCCAGACCGTCCGAGGGGCCCTATAGAGCCCAGCTAAAGACATGGTCACTGGGCTTCTGCTGCCCCTGGCTGTGACATAAACCTCACCGGGCTCCATTCTAGAAATGCGATGTGGGCTGTTCCAAGATGTGCAGAGTCCTTGAGAAAGTACATAGTAAGCCCCCATCAACCTCAGCCGGAGGTGACTTCATGGCCATCCTGCTAGAACATTCAGCGACAGGCAGCACTCCCGTTAGTGTTTAGATAAACAAGCAATGTCTTGTCTTGATGCCATTACAGATCCTAGGAGCCCGGGGCCACCCATGCTCCATCAAGAGGCAGCAGAGTCTGGAGGGGCCAGGGTCTTAGGGATCTCTTTGCTCTTCCCTACCCCTCTCAGAGTTGCAATATGCAACATTTTTGATCAAGGAAAACAAGTAGGGAGTGGGCAGAACCAAAAAATGGGTGCAGCGGCCTCATGGAGACCAGATGTTCCACACAGAGGTGCAGTTCCCTGTGGTGGGAGGGGCTAGCATCAGGTGCTGAGCTGCTTGAAGGAGGCAGAAGTCTAGGCCTGTATGTGAATCTCTTCATTTTTAAGTGTTAACAGCTAATTCAGGTGTTGAAAACAACCATTCCATAGGTTAGACAAAATTCACCAGAGCCATTGTCGGCCAACTGGCTGCTTCTAAAATGACCTGCTTAGAGGCTGGAGGAGCAGGACAGCCATCTTGAAAAGGCCCAGTTCTGCCTTCTCCGTGTACACATTCCCATCCTGCAGCTGCTCCAGGGCCAGCATAAGCTAGTTAAGTTTCTGAGGCTCTAACTATGACCTGTACTCTTCTTGTCCCTTTCTGCTGGCTCTAGGGTGGGGCTAGCTCAGCACAACCTTGTCAGTCAGTTAAGCCCTTCCATAGGAACAGTGGGCCGAGATGCCACGTCACAAGGACTGTCAGTGCTCAGCCCATACCAACTGGCCTTGCTCCAGTCTAAGGGGCAAACTCTCCCCTTCTGATGTGCAGGACCTGGTATTGTCAGGCAGATAAAAACAGTCTTTTGTAAGGCTGGCTGTACAAAAGGAGGATCTGCAGTAATGAGCATCCAGGCTGAGGGTCCCTGTTTGCACTTAGCCCGTCACTGGAAAGTCCTAAAGGGGCGGATACAGTAATGCCCAGAGTTTATCTCTGCATACCACTAGGGACCTAGAAACAGGGCTCACTCCATACCCAGTCACTTACAGACGCGCATTCAGGTGTTGCTGAATTGAGTTTTGCACGGGGTCTGGACACTAAGTCCCTCAATCTGGTTCAGAAGATTTGGGCCACACCATTTAACACATCTGGAAAATCTACTCCTCACAGAACAGCCTCAGGCTAGTGGCCACCAGATAGAAGTTTATTCCTGGTAAAGGCAAATCCACTTGCAAAATTAAGTTGTCCGCTGGGAGGTGGTGGCTCACGCCTTTAATCCCAGCACTCCAGAGGCAGAGGCAGAGGCAGGTGGATCTGTGTGAGTTCGTGGCCAGCCTGGTCTACAAAAGTTAGTTCCAGGACAGGCTCCAAAGCCACAGAGAAACCCTGCCTCAAAAAAAAAAAAAAAAAAGTTGTCCTAAGAGGCAGTTTGTGATGTTTTCCTTCTTGTCTTCTGCCTTCTTATGAGGCAAGGTGTATTTTGTGTAGCCCAGGATACCCCAAACTCTTGGTGATCCTTCTGCCTCAGCCTCCAGGGTGCAGAGCTTGCAGGCTGGGCCACACAGCTGGCTATGATTAATGACGATGGGAAGACCTGGCTGGAAGGAGTCAAGGACATCAGACGAGAGATCTCTGTTTGCTAGGAGGAGTTAGACAGAGGCTCATGGAGAACAGGAAGACAAGCGACCAGGAATGGGCTCTTTGTTTGCAGGATGGCAAAGGGAGGCCTGGGTGAAAGGAGACATTTATCCCACAGAACTTCCGGCTGTCCCCACTGATGAAGTCTAGCTGCTTTGAAAGGAAGGTGGCTACAGACAGATTGTGTGTGACTTTGGAGCTGTCTAATAGGCCAAGACCGCTAGCGGGGAAGCTCGGTCACAGGCAGCGTTTCGTGCCAAGGACTAGAAACAAGGCCTAAGAGCTCTGATAGGGGAATAAGCCAACAGAGGGCTGAGAAGGGGCAGTGATGTCAGTGCTGTTACTGAAGGTGACAGTGTCACCCACTGTGGGCCCAGCTGATGGCAGGATGAAGGATAATTAAAAAGAAGAGATGTTCTCCCAGCTGTGGAGCCCCACCCCAACCACACACAAAACAATACAGTTATTTTGAAACAGCTTCTAAAAGTGATGCATGCACCCGCAGTCCCAGCTGCTTGAGGCTGGGGCAGAAGGATCACTTGACCCTGTTGAGTTCAAGACTAACCTGAGCCAGGTATAGTGGTGCACACCTTTAATCTCAGCATTCAGGAGGCAGGGGCAGGTCAGTCTGGTCTACACAGAGTTCTAGGATAGATGGGGCCAGAGACCCTGTCCAAAAAAAAAAAAAAAAAAAAAGACTAGCCTGAGAGATATAGATACTAACTAAATCTCCCATCTCCAAAAAAAAAAAATCAAGAAAATCAAGACAATCTAAAACAGCTGTCAGATAGTAGCAGTATGTTCCGCCTCCTCCACGAGGGCTTTCTTCAAGGCCGTGTACATCATGATACTACTCAGTACATAATTCAAAGTGGGGACTGTCTTGAGAGCAGAAAGGCGGCTACTACCTAACAAAGCTGTCCTTTTGCAGCTCCCCTCTCTTGTGGACACCCTGCCTGGCTACTGCGTTTGTTTTCAATAAGCGCCCTCTGCTCTGCTGGTGGTCAGTTCTTTTCCTGCACCCTTGAAGGTCAGGGTTAGGTCATACCAGACTGACAACCCCAGACAACCTGGGGATTCTGTTTTGTTTTTCCTTTTCCCTTAAATTAGTCCCTAAGAGAAAAGGCTTTGTGTAGCCATCTTTCCTTCCTGTCTTTCTTCTAAACGAATGTGGAAAAATTCAGAAGGCAGTTGTCACCTATCGTCTCTCGGCTCCTAAATTTATGCTTACGCAGAGAACACAATTACTCCAGACTGTCCATGTGCATTGTTAAACGGATACGCAGAACACAGAGATGCTGCTGGGAATGATCGTTCCTCCGTTATCCATGACTGTTTCTCTATTGTATGAATTAGGGACTGGAAAGACGGCTCAGTGTTTAAACTCCCATATCAGTGCTGGGAACTGGACTCGAGTCCTTTGCAAGAGTAGCAAGTATTCTTAACCACTAAGCCATCTCTCCAGCTCCTTTATTTTTTCCTTCGTCACATTTTTATTTATTTATTGCGTATGTGGGTGTGGGTGTGCCATGACCCATGAGGATCAGCAGACAACTTGTGAGAGTCCATAGGGTCTGTAGCAGGTACCCTTTACCTACTGAGCCATCTCAGCCGCCCAAAAAAGCTGCTGCTGCTGCTGCTTCTTCTTCTTCTTCTTCTTCTTCTTCTTCTTATTATTATTATTATTATTATTATTATTATTATTATTATTATTATT